CCTAGGGCCAAGGGCCGCCCGCCCGCCGCCGGCCGCGCAGCGCTGCGCCCTCTCCCGCCCGCCCCGCGCGTTCCCCGCCCGAGCGCGGGCGCGAGCTACCGCGTGCCGGGGGCGAGCCGCCGCCGTCCCCGGGCGCGAGCCCCACCGCCGCGCGCCGGAGTGGGCCGGGGCCGGAGCGCGAACCGGGAGCGGACGGGTGCAGGTGCAGTCCCCGCACCCCGACCTCGGTGCTCTCGCCTGCCACGCGGGACGGCACTAGGGACCGCAGATGCTTCAAGGTCGAGGGCAGCAGCCTCCGAGGCCGAACCCGCGGTGGGCGGGAGCCGGGGCCCGAGGGCGGGCCGAGTCACGGGGACCGAGCCGCCGGCCGAGCCTGGGGCCAGCCCGGGATGAGCGCTTTCCGCGGCGGAGGTGGGGCGAGGGGGACACTGCGCGTCCAGGCGGGGAGGTGAAATCCAAGTGCGCGGCCCCAGGTGTGGCGCGCCGCAGCCTCTAACGAATGCGGAATTCCAAGATCCAAGATGCCGCTTTCCTGCAGTTCCGCAATTTCCCAAGCCATCCGCTGAGAACTGGGCCCGGGAGGAGTCGGCATTTAAACCTCCCCGGTTCACAAACGGATGTTTCTTACTCACCTTTAGTTTGCAGGGCTTTTGATACAAGTGAAAAGTTTAGGCTTAAATCGCACCGAAGAATTTAAATGAGCGATGGCATTAAGGACCCGTTAACTCATCCCTACTCCCTTTAGCCAGCATAAGGCTTTAAATTGGTTATCGGCTTCTCTGAGGTACCAAGAAAACTTGGAAGTTTGCATTGTCACAGTTCTCTTTGTGGCCCTACTGATGTGACTTTAAGACCGCTGGTGTTGAAAAAGACTGTTATTAAGAGATCCACGAGTGTTGGGAAATTGAAAGGGATCGGACACAAAAAGGCAACGTTCAGGGTAAGAAAGGGCAATGGTAGGTCATTCCCCCAGGCCATTTGTCCACTGTCGCATGGTGGAACTGAGGGAGTCCACCGCTGGATCCAAAACACTGGAGAGTAGCGCCCCCAGAACGTCTCAGTTGCTGGTGCTTGAAATTTCACCGTTAGAGATATTGATTCCTTTGGGGCTTGACGCGCCTCTATTAAAATGCAAATTCCTCTTGAAGGGGCAATAGCTCAAGCCTTTATCAGCCAACACCTTAGCAGGGATGGGATTTATTTTCCAATTTAAAGGGATGACCAAGGGATGAACTGGGGGTGGGGAATTCCACAGATAAAGTAGCTGACCTCAAAATGTTGGCCAGTGGCCAGACTCTGCCTTTTCCTCCAGTTTTTATCTGTAACATGGCTGAGCCTCAGGCTGGCATCATTTAGAGTACCAGAGTACAAATTCAAATTTCCTGGAGACATTCTCTATCTAGAAATTCTCAGGCAGCACTTTTTAAGGCCTTGGAACAATACCAAAGCCAGCTCCTGGACTGCCAGGAGGTTAGGTTCTCAATGGAATCACCTCCCTCCCTCCCTCACTCATTTATTTATTCCCCACAATAGTTTACAAAGGACTGTCTAAGCACCAGGCACTCTTAGGCCCTTAAAGTAAGTACAGAAGTGAACAAAACAGACAAAACCCATGTCTTTTCGGTAGAAGGAGAGAAACAGTACAATAAGCAGAACAAGTAAATTACACAGAGTTTATTGACATTATGTAGTACTCAAAAAATATGTTAAGCACTCACTATGTGCTAGACACTGAAGATGTAAGGATTAGCAAAAGCAAACAAGCTAGAGAATGTTCAGTCTACTGGTTAAATTAACAATACACAGATAATTGCTCCAAGGCCAATTGTGGCCAGGAGCAGTGTGATGGAGAATTCTACATGGTGCCAAAAACCAGCATCCTCTACAGAAAATGAATTGAGGGATGCCCAAGAGAATGTAGAGTTCACATGTTACTGCTGTCATCTAGGCAAGAAATGACAGTATTTGGGATGAAGGTAGAGATGGTGGAGATACTCAGAACTGGATAGATTTGAGACGTTTGGCAGGTGTCCGCAATGAATTAAATGTAGACAAAATAAAGGGCGGTGCCGGTTGGGCCATCCTGGGGAGAGTACCGAATGGTAGATACCTCCCATGAACTCCCATGTGTGTATTAGATGTGCTTCCAAATATATATGTGAATCATATTTGTAATTATAAATGGCATGGAAAGAGAGCTGTGGGCAGCACAGCAGAGGGTTTAGGTGTAGGTGGAGTAGGAGAGGGATCTACATTGTCTGTGAAATTTGATTTTGGGGCAGAGGGAAAGCCTGATCCAGAAATTACAGTCACTTAGCCATTTTAAAAATCATTTCTGTATTTTAGAGAATTTTAAAATTTGGTTGTATTAAATGTAATATCTGACTTTCTCTTGGTAAACAATTGGAATTTGGAGATATAAATAAAGTGAGTCAATTTCACGGAAGTGAATCATAAAGAAAGGAAGGATGGAAGAAAGGAGGGAGGGAGCTGGCTTAGCCCTAGCTCTGATCCCAACAACTCATTGATCCTCTTTGCTCCTCAGCGTTTTTCTTATAAAAGGCTGCATTGGGGGCGCCTGGGTGACTCAGTCGTTTGAGTGTCTGACTCTTGGTTTCTGCTCAGGTGGAGATCTCAGGGTCTTGGGATCAAGCCCCACATCCAGCTCTTCACTCACTGGGGAGTCTGCTTGGGATTCTCTCTCTCCCTCTGCCCCTCCCCCCTAAAATAAATAAATAAATCTTTTTAAAAAAATAAATAAAACGCTGCCATAATACATGTCCTAGTATTATGAGAGATTCTTGGAGTCACCTGGGACCAACTTATCGCAACTTTTTCTTCTTCCTAGATCAGATGACACTAATAGACTGAGACCATTGTTCTTAAGCATAGCATGACAAGGTGGCTGAGCTTTTACTGAAAGGTAGGCTGTATGTCTGCTTGCACCAACAGGAAGGTGAGTAACACAAATGCCTCACTTATAGTGCCCTTGTTCAAGTTTTTGCTCTTTTCAACATACCTCTCCAGCGATGGATGAAAAATAAATTTGTCCCTCCATACTATACAGCAGAAGAAAGTTCTGCTTGGATTTCACAGTCTCCAACTCTGGAATAGTAAAAATCAGCAGAGAATCACTGTTTCCAGGAACCTCAGGCTTGTACATTTCCTGCTGAAGACAACTAAGAAGCCAGATGAAAAAATATTTTAAATATCTTCTTAAAAGTATCAAGGAGGGGCACCTGGGTGGCTCAGTGGGTTAAGCCTCTGTCTTCGGCTCAGGTCATGATCTCAGGGTCCTGGGATTGAGCCCCACATCGGGCTCTCTGCTCAGCGGGGAGCCTGCTTCCCCCTCTCTCTGCCTGCCTCTCTTGTGGGACTCGATCCCAGGACCCTGAGATCATGACCTGAGCTGAAGGCAGCGGCTTAACCCACTGAGCCACCCAGGCGCCCCTGGATCACAGATTTATACCTGAGGGCAAAACCATAAAACTTTTAGGAAACAACATAGGTGTATATCTTCATGACTTTGGATTGGCTATGGAATCTTAGATATGACACCAAAACCATAAGCAACAAAGAAAGAATAGACAACCTACAACCTTTGTACTTCATCAAAATTAAATTTTTTGTGCATCAAAGAATGCATCAAAAGTAACAAGAATGAGAAGAAATATTTGCAGATTATATATCTGACAAGGTTTCAATATCCAGATATATAAACAACACCCACAACTGAAAAACAAAGAGACAAAAATGGGGCACATGGTTGGCCCAGTGGTTTAAGTGCCTGCTTTCAAGTCAGGTCATGATCCCAGGCCCTGGGATTGATCCCCACATCAGGGTCCCTGCTCAGTGGGGAGTCTGCTTCTCCCTCTCCCTCCAATGGTCATTCTCCCCCATAAATAAATAAAATCTTTAAAACGCATACCCACACACATACACACAAAGAGACAAACAGCCCAATTTAACATGGGCAAATGAGTTGAGTGGACATTTCTCCAAAGAAGACATACAAATGGCACATAAGCTCATGAAAAGATGCTCAGCATTGCTGATTAAGGAAATGAAAATGAAAACCACAATGTGATACCACTTGGCATCCATTAGGATGGCTATTATAAAAATTGATTACTTGAGATACCTGCGTGGCTCAGTCATTTAAGTCTCTAACTCTTGCTTTTGGCTCAGGTCGTCATCTCATGGGTCATGGGTCATCAGATCAAGCCCTGCATCCAGCTCTGTGCTTAGCAAGGAGTCCGCTTGAAGAGTTTCTCCCTCTGCCCCTCCCCTACTTTTTTATCTCTCTAAAATAAATAAATAAATAAATATCTTTTAAAAGTAAAAATTAATTAATTTTTAAAAAAAACAGAAAATAGCTAGTGTTGACAGGAATATGGAGAAATTGGAAATCTTGTGCCCTGCTGGTGAGAATGTAAAATGGTGCAGCCATTTTAGAACATAGCATGGGAGTGCCTCAAAAAATTAAACACAGAATTACCATTTAAGGGATGTCTTGGTGGCTCAGTCAGTTAAACATCTGCCTTCAGCTCAGATCATGATCCCAGAGTCCTGGGATCGA